AAGTAGACTATCACTCACCCACACCAGATGGAAAACTCTACAGACTGTCGGTTCACACCCCATCACAAGCCATCAAAACATCCACGAAACAAAGAAAGGTCTGTCACAGCCAAAAAATACACTCCAGACACGCCGCTGGCAATCTTTTTTATGACAAGACCTATAAAAAAAATAACTCATAGTCAAACAGAGCTGTCCGGTAAACCGTAGGCAGAGAGGGAGAAGAGGATATATATATATATATATTGTGACGATATATATATATATATATTCCATGCCCAGGTACCCCAGGCATCAGACAACCCCGGGCGTGCCAATCTTCCTAGAACAAAACTGAGAAGATTAGCATGGGGCTTGTGCAAGCATGACACATATACATTGAGAACAGGTCCAAATTAGAAAAAAAACGAAGGAGAGAGGAGGAAAGCACCAATCTGCGGTGTTGCCATAACTATCGGTGACCCCCTCCCCCTTTTAAAAAAAAAATCCGCAACAGTACCGTTCTGTGCCATGGCTGTTTGAGCTTCGAAGATCCTTAAAAATTGTAATTACACACCGAAATTGCAAGGTTGTCATACTCTAATCACTCGATAGCATTTTAAAAATATTAATTATTCCGGAAAGTTCTGAAAACCCATGCAGACCAAGGGGAAACACATCAGCCTCCTTCCCGCCCCTTACCTACAATCTGCCAATTAAACCACCGGTACCCCAGGCTTTTTCGCGGACCCGGATGCATGCAAGCCACAACTTTCGGGGGTCGGCTGCGGGAGCAGGACTGCTGACATTGTCAGCCAAAAGGAGGCCCGTGCCATTTCATTTCTTCTGGTGCGCACTGCGCCGGGCATTTCAAGCCTCGGGCAGAAGAGGCTCAGAACTACCGGTGATTTCAATTCCTCCCCCTTCCTTTTCCTCTCTCGAGCCCTTTGCTCACTGGGAGTTAGAATTTCTCTTACCTCCAGAACAAGTCGATGAGGCCGACACGGTTCGTCCCATGCGTACAGGCATGAGTTGTAAGGCCGAAGAACATCATCCACCGTCTCACACTTCTGCTGATGAAACCGGAGCATCTGCACCAAAAGTCACACCGCGTAGACCGTGGTTCACAGAAGCCCAAAAAACATTTTGTGAATGTCACCACCCTGCAGGATCGTCGAAGGATGCAAGCAATCTTAACCATAAAGAAAGCCACCACAACATGTGGTCCAAACTCTTTCCCCCTGCCCCCCTCCCCTCTAAAAAAACATCATGTTATGGTGATGGCTTGGCTTGCACTCTGTTCTGGAGAGCAACATGCCTTAGAAAGTCCAGGTTGTTGTAGAGGCTGGATTATAGACAGGTGAGTGTTTTTCCTCTCCTTTTCCTTTTTGAACAGCCTGGGTGCTACTCCCCACCCAGAGTAGAGTGGATAGGCTCAACCCATAACTCGTAGCATAGCTTAGCATTAGCTAGTAAATATCAGGGCTTGGTGTAGCTGCCACCTGAAAACCCTGTAGTTAACCCTCAAAAACGTGGAGCTTGGTTCCTTGCTGGTTGGGTTGCTGTGTCCCTTGCAGATCCGGAAGATGGGTAGATCAGTTCGAGTACACAGCCCGAGGTAGGTAGTGTGAGATGCAAAAATATTGAGAGAACAAAATAACATAGTAAAAAATTAAAAATGCAGCTGTCCCTCATATGAGGAGAAGGCAGCGAGCATTTTTTTCAATTACGAAAAAAAAGAAAGTAAGAGAAGGCTGGATCCCACCTCACGTCTGTATTTCAACAGTTCATAAACAGCTCAGAAGAACTGCAAGGAAACCGAACTGGGGAAACTCAAATTACAAGCACAACAATGCTCTCTCTTGACCCGCATGTATATACAAGGCACTTAGCAGAAATGACAAAGCAAGAATCGCACCAGCACAAAAAATGACAATGTTTATGTCTCGTGCTGATGAACCCCTCCCCTCCCCCCTCGCCTCCCAACAATCAGTACAACATCAAATCTCTCTCTCTCTCTCTGTCTCACTCTTTACCAGCCAATGTGATCTCCTCCTCTGTATGCACCCTAGCCTATGCTACACCAAAGTACAGCGCCATAGAGTACAATGCTGCTCCCACCGGTGCCTGACCGGAGAGTGTATCACACTGGACCTCTTCTTGGCGACCACCAGGACTCGCCAGTTCTCCTCCTCCACACTCTTTCCTTTCCTCCCAGGATCTCCCTTACGAGCGCCACCTTTTTCCTACACCCCAGCGCCCGAACTGGCTGGCACTATCCTTCTTCCTCAGCTCAGCTATCGCTGGTACTGGCTGGCATGATGTCGCTGCTCTCTAATGAGCGCCCAGCAGTCTGACAACAATGCCCGCTACCGAATGCATGTTGAACTGCCCAGCTCTCTCCTGCATTAGCACGTCCGGGACCTTTTCTGGCCAGTAGGCACTGCCTTCCAGAACCTTCTCGATAATGTCTTGACCGACCGGGATCCAGACAGCCCTATCGGGCTCCTGCCTTGGCATGGCCGGCCAGCAGATCTGCAGCTAGACAACAGAAGCTACCAGAGCATGTATGCAGCACAAATCTAACCCCACATTTCTTTTCGACAGCCGGAAATGACATGAGATTAGAATTCTATCTTCTCAAGAGTGACATCTCACTGATGGCTCCAGTCTTTCCGGAAAAAGACCTTCTAAGCCTTCCACCTAAGCTGCGCAGGAAAAGCCCAAACCCAATCCCAGGGAACAGTAAAGCTTCATGGGGTCTTTCCGTTGGGGTGCAGGTAGTCCGCTTCGTCAGTCACTTGTCTATTTCACCAAGTCTCTCTCTGGGACAGCGCCCAGATCGTTACAACTTTTTTTCCCAGGATTCAATCAACACTGATCATTTACAGTTACAATGGTTAGCAGGATTGATTCTGTGATGCAGAATCCGAAGAGTGGAGATCAAGGTCAGCGACCTTTCAATGCTGGTCCTGGTCAAGTTCCTGGTACTGTACATTACAGTGACATACATGATGGTAGAGGCCACTCGCCAGAGAGAGATTGTGAAAGTAAGTAGACAATGGATCAGTGAGCAACTGTAATCGCCATCATCTTGGTCTGAGGGGCGATTACGTATGGCACTCACTCTTTCTTTTTCTTTTCTTTTCTTCGAGCCTGAATCGGACTAAGATAGTCCTTTTAAATCTGTCAAAGGTTGGCGCGAAAGCGCGTAAGAATTTGACTGTCTGGAATGAGCCACAACCATGTTTTGGATATATGCACTTTCCTCAAAGTGAAACTAACTTTAGGATTAATGCTATTCTAAGAGGATCGAACGAGTGTTTCCGACACGCACAGAACAGACGCCGTATCATGTGGTATTTTTCCACTATTTTACGTCACTCTCTGGCCAAAATGTTGGTATGTATAGCCACTTTAGTAGTACTGGTTTCTGGATTCGGAAAACAGAATCTTTTTTCTGGAAACATAACAAAGCTATCAACACTATGCGTCAAATCTCCAGTGCTTTGCAGGCGCTCGCAAGAGATCACTTTTTCAAAGTAACGATGCGCTGCAGCCTTGGTGTCATGATTAGAAACACATGCTATGTTTCCACAAATGGATTGAAAAGTAGGTCCATGTAATTGATCAATACTTAGGTCACCATCGAATGGACTCTTGGTGGAACGGACCACTTCATGTTTGCAACTCTTTTTGATCCAACTCAATCGAATGAGATTGAACTGGCGCCGCTGCCAGTTCGTGGCCTTGGACATGTAAGAGTCGTACAAAACCAAGGCAAGTTTGATTCTCAGGGAAGTACTTATGATTGATTCTTTGTCGACCCCAGGTAGGGTGTCTACGAAAGACCCATGCACGAAGTTGTACGTTAACGAATGTGAGATAAATACACAAAGTTATCACCGAAGACTCACCACAAAGTCCGCAATTCCACATACACTCTTCTAACAATCGGCACTTCGCCATGTAGTTTGCATGCAGTCTTCTCACCGTGGGCACCAGCTCATCACATGGTACCCACTCCATAGTCTACACATCGTCAGTAAATGTAGGTACAATGTTCTCAGTCCTCTAGCAATCCAATCCTTCCACATCTACAGTGCTGACATACTCTTCACATAGTCATTAGATGTCACAAGATCATCACCCTTTGTGTTTTGTAACAACTAGGAATAACAAAACACCAAATTTGATAACTGAAAAAAGGAAAACAAAAAAAAAGGGCGAAGCTTAGGGAAATTTGCATATATGTTTTCAAAGCTTCAGTCATTTGTGTCCAAATAAATGATGGTTTTTCTATGCGTAAAACAAGAAAAGGTTTAGCTAATAAAAAACCAAATTCTTCTGAGAAACAATAACAAGTCAATAAAGTGAAAACAAAACAAATAAAAATCCACAAAAAACGAATTCGAGCTTCCTCGATTATCATTTTCAGGGTTTTCAACCTTCCTACCTGTCATGCACTCATATTACATAGTGGCCAACGCTATAGCGCTGAAACAATCTTCGCAACGCTATAGCGCTGACATAATATTCCCATGCACACATAGTCATTAGATGTCATAAGACCATCACCAGATCACCAGCAGAGGGTTTTCAACTTTCTCTACTACCTGCTCATCACACAGCTGTCTCATGGTCAGCACCCTGGCATCACGACGTTCTTGTCTATACACAAGGATCACTGGAAAAAGAAGAAAAAGAAAATCACCACGGACTCACGTAGTTACCGTTACCATTATCACACACTTGCCGTGTAGTCACTTCACAGGCACACAAATTACCTCTGCGGAAAAGTTGTCGATCCTGAACGGCATAAAAGCGGTTTTGTCCTCAGAAACCACAATCAAGCACGTTCCCACACCTCCAACTGCAGATCCTTTGCTGTCATATGTTGTCCCCTTCTCAGAAGGCTGAGGTGTGTAAATGCTGATCCGGATCATTGATATCTCCCGGCTACTATGTTGCCTCATCTTCAGCTGAATCTCACCCAGTTGATCTAACGCAAAACCACCGGACCAATCCCATCCATGCTCATCAAATCTCAAGCAGACAAGCAAGTTCCTGCACACAGCCAGGCATAGATAGCATTAGAGTTGGTCCAAAGACTCTGTATGGGGGAACTCTCTCTCTCTCTCTCTCTCTCTCT